TTGTGTGTAAGGTGATGGAATCGGTTATGAGGGATAGGATTATCGATAACTTGACTGTTAACCATCTTCTATCAGACTGTCAACATGGCTTTATTGCTGGCAGATCATGCACCGCTAATCTTCTGTCTACCTTGAATAATTGGACTCGCCTGCTGGACGAAAGGGAGCCAGTTGATGCACTATACCTCGATTTTGCCAAGGCATTTGATGTGTTCCGAATGAGCGACTGTTACGTTAAGTGAATTCTTTGGGAATAGAGGGAAATGTACCCCAATGGATCTGGAATTTCGTGGTAGGCAAAAGACATCGTGTCAGCATTAACGGAACCGTATCAGACTGGGTAATTGTGCGCAGTGGCGTACCGCAAGGAAGCGTTTTTGGGCCTGTTTTGTTTGTCGCTTTTATAAACGATCTACCAGAAGTAGTGCCAAGCGTGTGCTCCATGTATGCCGATGACACAAAAGTTTGTAATCCAGTTAAGAATGCGTCATATAAAATGCAATTGCAAAATGATCTTGATAGTTTAGTTGACTGGGCTAATGCGTAGCAGCTGCGTTTCAATGCTGACAAGTGTAAAGTACTTCACCTCGGTAAGAACAATGAACAGCAAGTTTACAGCATGAGAATACACGGTTGCAACGAGAGGGTTATGATTGAAAAGTCAAGTGTGGAAAAAGATCTCGGAGTTTATGTCGACAAGGAGCTGAAATTTTCTAAGCACGTTGAAACGCAAGCTAACACACCCAACAAACTTCTTGGACTGATCAGACATTCTTACGAGTTCCTAGATGCAGAAGCGATGAAGCGGTTGTTTGTTGCTGTCGTGCGCCTGAAAAATTAAAGATTACGAAGCTTCCAAGCCTCAGTTATCGACATCTGCGTGGGGACCTCATTGAAGTATACAAGTATACTCATGCTTTATACAATGGTCCCAGAAGTATTACTATAATTTGAAACAAGAACCAACACCAGGGGCCACGACTATAAATTAAAAAATATAACTCAGTACTCACTGCAGTGAGTGACAGAGAGCGCATTTTCTCGACGAAAACGTGAAGTCACGGTCGGACAGACAGACGGACACAATAGTGCATTTTTTCGATAAATGAGAAAATGCGCTCTAAAAACTGCGTTGCCACTCATCCACGCGAAAACAATTCTTCTCGCTTCGAATCTCCAACATGTGGAACAGCCTCCCCGATTACATCGTTGACGATCCGAGTATATACGCGTTCAAGAACAGATTAGATAAAGCTATGGAAAAATATATATGTTCAGACTTCAAATGCCAAGCACCATATCTAACTCAGGGGAAGTCTAGTATCTTCAAGCTATAGTCAGTCATGAAAAATTCCGGTCATAGGGCATGCTTTTGGATCTTTTGTGAACATGTCACGAAAATAACAAAAATCGGCAACAGGCCAGCCACATCAGTCCTACTCTTCAGCGCCGACATCGCCATAGATGCCTGTAGGCGGGGACAGTACTGCCGCCAGTTCATCCGCCGCTTGAACTGTCCACGCTAGTCGTGTATAGGGGTTCTCAGCCGCTTCAGTGGCATGTGCCCGAGACGCGGCCGAGAGGGACAACGATGTATTGTTTTCTTCGTTGGAGAAACGGCCAGTAGCGCTGATTCAGTCATGGTGAGAGAATCTGTGCCGCTCTTGTGAAGTATCGTGGGTCAAGTGAATCATGGCTTGTTTGAACGATAATGGTTCTAAGAAGAACCCAACAAAGTGGAGTCCAGACGCTATTCAATTGTTATTTGAGATATTTCAAATACATGAATTAATGTGGAACGTTCGCCATGCTGGTTACTCCAACAAAATGAAGAGATAAACGAGTATTTTGAAACTGAAAGAAGATCTTATTAGTAAGGGTTTAGTTGTTCCCGACGTTGCATTTTTAAAGGCTAGAATTGGAACAGAACTATGCTTTCTGAAACCTAACCTCGGATGTTGTGAGCAAAAAGTGACGTCTGGTGGTGCACGGCAGGGTGCATGCAGTTCCACAGTCGGGCTGGGCTGGTTGGTCGCAGTCCGTTGTCCGCTAGTTACAGTTCGAGCTAAGGCAAGGGTATGAAGTGATGATTGGATGTAGTTTAGTGCTAGACAACCATTATTCTCTGGGCAATTCGCTTCAGAATGTGGTGGCGTAAATCTCCCTAATATTTTAAGAAAGATGATGTCATGGGCTGGTTACCGACGGATGGCTTTATCCGTGGCTGAATGGTGGTCATCCGGAAATATGCTAGACGTCCTTTAAAGGCTGGTTGGTGCACAAAATTTTGTGGTGCACGGCTGCGTACCCTGAATGGAACGATGATGTCATGGGCTGGTTACCGACGGAGGGCTTAATCCGCGGCTGATTGGTGGTCATCCGGAAATATGCTAGGCGTTCCTACCAAGGCTGATTAGTGCACAAATTTTGTGGTGCACGGCTGCGTACCCTGAATCCCGTCAATCGTTTCAAACTTAAGTAATTTATAAAAAGAAAATACCGTTCAAACCCATATTCAACATAGAATTAAAGGTAACTTCCATTATGCCACATAAAAGAAAATTCCATGTACAATAATAATGGTATATGCCTCATTTCTAACATAATACCTTGTGCTGATCTGGGAATTCAATCACGGTACTTACGGCAAGAACTAGAAGTGATCTAAACACGCAACCTATCGTTACACTCAATAGAAGTGCAGGTTAAAAATTAGAAATGTTAATTCTTTGAAGTGGATTTCGTCTTCTATTGTTGAAAGCGAATATTAAATTGTAACGGGTTCATTCGTGCAGACGTCTTCCACGCTTCAAAAATGAGTTATTCAAATGAAACTAATCTAATGTCATTCAATATCTATTTCAAGCTGTTTACAAAATAGGGCCCTAAAATTGAGACTAAAGAGTAAACTACTCTATTCCAACAACACATGCTCGTTTTTGATAGAAATAAGTGCATTCTTCCAAGCGTCTAGGGTTGACTTGCTTATTCATTCAATGGATGCTTTGGTTGACAATCATATACTCTTAGAACACTTGTACTATTACTGAAGGAAAAATTAGCTGCAATAAATTAATTGAGGTTTTAGATCAGACAGATTTGACAGCATCGTCATGCGAGAATCAATGTTCTTCGTGTTATTAAAAATTATCTAGAAGTTATATATTCATCTATCAACGTTTAAATAAAACAAGGAATCTGATTAACAAATGTCTCGAAAAACGATTATCGAAATTAAACAAAGTTAAAACACATATGATAAAATTCGGATAAGCATCAAAGGTCTGCGAGGAAAGCCTTCTAGCCAGCCATGGCGGAAAGGTGGAGAGTCGGGGTAAGTGTGGGGGGAAGAAGATGCTGGGGGATAGTAAGGCAGGGAAACAGTGACGCGGGGGTTCACGTCTTGCGGAGTAGTAAAGTGATGACGCATTACCGTTTGGTACAATTCACATTTGCGGCAATGCAGCGTGGTCAGCGGACCCTAAGGATAACAGCATGTATGTAATGAAGTCTTATACTTCATCGGGTTCGTTACGCGGGTGCATCAAACATCAGCCATCAAAACTAATTTATTGAACTAGAACAATAATTAAACAGTATTGTTAAATATATTGAAACGACTCTAGACAAGCTAAGTGCCCAGTCTAACAGTTCACAATAGGTGACAAAGGTCGTAGGCCGTAGCACGTCCCAGATCCTGGGAGCACGCGAAGATCCTTCCAAGCAAATACTTGGAAAACACGGTCCCGGAGGCAGCTTAAGCAGCTCACCAATAAAGGCAGTGTATTGAGTGTAAGATGACTTAGCACAGCAGAAGAGTGGCGCAATATGGGAGCGCAGCCGTGGGTAACAAATTGACTCGTAAACAGGCCCTGTGCCCAACGCCAACCATCAGCATGCAATATCTACACATAGCCTCAGATCAATGAGCTGTGGGTAACTCCGGCTAACAGTAAATCCGCTTTGCACAACACAGCCACTGCTTCACAGCGCCGGAGCCCAACTGGCCGGAGCGCAACAGGTCCTACCGCAACAGGCGGCGCAGGTTAGGTTACGTTAGGAATAGCTGTTGCGGTAGGGCCTGCTGCGCTCCGGCCAGTTGTGCTCCGGCCTGTATGCGCTCCGGCCTGTATGCGTTCCGGCCTGTGACTGAACTGCGCTGTTGTGGTGGGCGCTTTGTGTCATAGGCCGTGAAGATGCCCGGCTGCGTTACGCTCGGGAAGGTATATGAATCGCACTGTGGACTTGGGCTATGCTGACCTCTAGCTATCCACCCGTTTTTATTCTCTAACACTGAATTATTCTACTGTGAATGTTGCAGTCTATCTCTTGGCTGCATCTCGCTCTCCAGTCAATGGCAGAATGAGCCATTCACATTATTTAGGGTATCAACTGGGCCTGACACACTGGGTGTTGAATCTTGAATCGTTATGATATGCAAGATCTACCCGACCTCAGTTCGCAATTCCGAAGTTCACAACGAGTTGAACTCTTCTGCTTTGATCCGACTCCAAAATATCTTGATATAATAATTAGGCAGTCGTTAAGGATACAAAACTGATTTACAGTAATTATTTTCTCTATTGCACTCATTCGTCAAGCTTCCCAGAAGTTGACCATCGAATTCATTATTGTCACTTGCGATGTTGAAATTTCGCCTTCGTGGGAATCGATTTTGACTGGAAATAAAAGCTACGGGCGGTAAACTAGCTACGAAAACGTGCTGTAATCTAAAATTTAGAGCTCACAAAAATTGTTGGGCTATCAATATAGCTAACATAATTTCGACTCTTCAAGCTTTAAAATATAAACAAATGAAATTCCACCCTGAGTACCACTGGCCTATTTGAATTCAAATAAAATTGTGTACATTTGGTGATTTTTGTTACGTTACGTTTTTACGATTTGTTACTTTATATAGAAAGAAGGCCAGCATTGGATGTTACGATCCAGGTTACATCCGCTATTACGGATTGTCTCTTGCACACCTTCGCCAACAGCCCCTGCAGTGTGCACCCAAAAACCTGTAATGCTGCTGCGGCTGCAGACGCGTGTCGCTCATACAGTTACAGTACAAGACCTCTGAGGCTCTAGCTGCGCCCAGCACGGTAGGATTCTAGGAAATGGTTGTTCATTTAGATCCACCAGGACGGCCGCAGCGCTACTCACTTACGGAGTGGGACGGCCGCGCGCTTCGAGACGAGTGGGCCGTCAGCTCAGCAGCGGCAGTGCGCTATAACAATAGGAGCGGAATAGCGATGGGTTACGGGTAGTGTCGTAGTGAATATCTTCAATGTCAATTAGCAATTGGGTCTGGAAATTCTTTGATTTGACAACCATTAGTCAATAGTGATGGTGTTATTAGTTGTAATTTGTAAACTTGTATATTGTTGATAGCCTGAAGCCCTGAACTGCCTGATAGGCCCTATCATCTGAAAGTTGAAACTTGAAAGTGAAAGATAAGTCAATGGTCTCTCATTTATTTTTGCTTCATTTGAGCAATTGAATGAATTATGGTTTCCAAATCTTGGCGTGTTATGTTATGTCGTGCATAAATTGATTATTGAATGTGAAAAAATTATACCTAACTGCAAATTGAAAGTTGTTAGGTAGGGCTAGTAGCTATAAGCTTAGGCTATGTAGGTTAATAATTGTAAGAAAAAGGTTATCATAGCTAGAACAAATCATAATAGAATATTAATAGGTATGTGCACAAAAAAATTTTTTTCCTTTGATCGTATTGAAAATTGCACCACTGAAAAGAGAAAAAAATTTAGAAAAATATCATATAGGGTAAATGCGGTATATTCCGTCACACATGGTGGCATTCCATAGTATAAATAAAAGAACATGGGCTTTTGGGAAATTGGAGCGCTCTGTCATAATTGGAGCGTCAAGGTCACTACACCTTCTCCCACGAAATCTACTCCACAACTGCGGGCGGGCTGCGTGCTGCAGCTGATCGCGCTACCGTGCGCGTGCGGTACGCGGCTACGCCTGGTATGGTAAGTCAAAAGAATAGTGTCGCGCTCCAACCTTTCTTAAACGCCTACTGGTTATCCAAACCAAAAAATAAGCAATGGACTTCCTATGGACTTAATTCATAAGAAATGGATATGAACTGGATCAATTGCTCCCCGGAGCGCCCCCCTCCCCCCGGAGCGCCATAAGTACCTCTCTTGTCAGAATTCCACCATGCCGTCACATTAAGGACGCATTGAGAAATGAAAAACTATAAAAAAATAACTGTATGCATTACTCAAGTTCTGTTTGCTTTATGTGACTCTCAAAACACCGCACTACGCATCAGCAACAACGAAACGTCACAAAATGTTGCCATATTGATTTAAAAGCCTTTAGAATGGATAAGAATGCAAACCTACCAAATCCCTATATTCCGTCACTGTGTGTGGCAATATTCGGCACGTGGTGAGGCGTATTCCGTCTGCGCTTCAAATTCTACTGATACGTAATGCCGTCATCCACGTGTTCGAATTCCGTTTGCTGTGTGAGCTGTATTGAATACAACACGGCTTTGAATTAGAACACTAATGAGTATTGAACACTACTTAATTACGCTTTTAATTAACAACTATTAAGCTTTTAATTAAGCAAATTTCAATTTTTGTACACAGCTTGGAATGATCTGTGTGTCCAATTCAAGTTGTGACGGCATTAGTTTTCATGTGTCTAAATCCATTTCTCAACTTTATCATCTATTAATTTATTTACCACTTGAAATCAGCGAATACAAGTATACTTAAAGGATTCCTAATATATTCACAGATGTATTTAAAAGTCTTAAACCATAATATTCTTCCTATACAAACAGTTATTCACTATTTGATAGAGCAAGGTCAACTGTCAAATTTGACACATTTTTCAATGATCTCACTGGGTAGCGTGCATTGTCTCTCTTTGGATCTCAATATTTTCCTGCTAGATAGCCAAGACCTAGTGTTTTGGCAGTAGTTTGACACGCAAATGTATGACGTCGCCATTTTAACCATCAACAAACGCATGGAACTAAAACAAAGCTTAATATAAAGGAAAAACTAAAGAGGTGATGGAATTACCCACGATGACGGAATATACCGCGTTTAAACTAATTATGAGTGAAGTAGGTCGAAAAATGAAAAAGATATGAATTTTTTCCTTTTTTCAATTTCACCCCAAAAATGGACCAACTTCTGTCACTTTTTTTGGAAAAACTATCATTTATTGGTTTCCTATGAGCCAATTTCAAAGTTTTTAGTACCATTGGAAAGCTCATGTTGTAGGCTATCTATTCTAACTAGAATAAAACATTTTGGTTGAGACTTTGACTGCAGGTGGGTGGGGGAAATGGGTGCAACTGCTAGATATGAATGCTATAACTTTACTTAAAGGCAGAATTGGATGGAATAAATAACTTAAAGGCAGAATTGGATGGAATAAATTCCAGTTTCATGGTCTTGGCACCATAATTGAGCTTAAAAATATGAAATTAAATAGAATACGCAAATAAAATTTACTAGTAATAATAATATTATTAAGTTTTATTAATATTAAATTTAATTCCTAACTAATTATAATAAATACTAGTGAATATTGATATTAATAATAATATTAAATACTGATCCTCATCATGTCACGTCTCGTCTTGTGCCTCGTCTCATCTCGTCTTGTGCCTCGTCTCATCTCGTCTTGTGCCTCGTCTCATCTCGTCTTGTGCCTCGTCTCATCTCGTCTTGTGTTTCCTCTCGTGCCTTGTCTCATCTCGTCTCATGCCTTGTCTCATCTCGTCTCGTGCCTCATCTCATGCCTCGTCTCGTGTCTCATTTCCTCGTCTAATGTCCAATCTCACGTCTTGCCTCATGCTTGTCTCCTCGTCTCATGCCTTGTCTCATGTCGCGTCTCACATCTCATCTCACATCTCGTCTCATGCCTTGTATCATGTCCAATCTCATATGTCTCGTCTCGTGTCTCATCTCCTGGTCTCATGTCTTGTCTCGTGTCTCATCTCACATCTCGTCTCATGTCTCGTCTCATATCTTGTCTCATGCCTCGTCTCATGTACCCTCTCATGTCTTGTCTCATGTCTCAGTCTCGGCAGTAGTTCAGGACCAGCGTACCTCACTGACTCATGACTGAACTGAACGTAAACAACACGTCAGGACATGATAGAAAAACTGTACGAATGACTGCAAAGCTCTGAAATTTCGAGAGCATGCTCTAAAAACTATAATCTTGATTTCAAATTATCTTTCATTAATTTCAAAATACAATATCCATGTTTATTTCCTGCCCAAATGTTACCTCTTGCACATCCCAGCTAAGCAGGTACTTGATAGACATTTCTCAAAAAAAAAATGATGTCATCATAGTTCAAGTTTTTTTAGTTCATTTCCAAACAAAAGTCAATAAAATCAAGCTAACATTTTGGCGGGACTTTCAAAATAAAATACCTTACATGCGCCGATGCGGAAAGTGGCTGTCCGCCATTTTGCCAGCATTGTTTACGTTCGAGCGTACTTTGTGCACATACCTACTTATTGACAGTTGACATGGCATCCATAAGCTTGTTTAATGCTAATTTCACAAAGGTTGCTTCAGATATATTAATCATTGCCATTCCCATGTTCCACCCTCAATTTTATATAGTTAATGATATTAAATGGCATTTTCATACAAACGTGTATCCATTAAACTTTTATACTTTCAGATCTGATGGAAGCAACAAGCATCCCTAACAATGCCATGGTGCAGACTGCAGAGGGTGGATGCAGCGTCGCAAATATATGGGTTTTTAAGCCCTAAGCGTCGCCGGGTAATTTTAAGATGCGTCGCCGGGTAATTTTTAATGTAAAGCCATTTATGCTGAGTAATGAAAAACTATTTACAAGCCACAAACTTATTTACAAGGTTGCATGCACGTGTTACCCCAAATAATTAATTTTACCCTAAAAACAGTCCGATTGTACAGCAAGTGTCAACTGAAGATGTAATAATGCAGTCTGACCACTCTAATGTGACCGCAACTACGTAATCGTAAACTTGATGTTCACATTTTTTTGGTGGGAACTCATCGCAACTGATTTGCAAACAAGCTTCACTGCATACTGATCAATCCAACTTACCGGAAACCTTACTTTTTTTAAATAGTTGGCCGAAGACTGACTAATATATTAAATGAAAGAATTTCAATCTAAATGTGTCGGCAAGATCTTCTGATGGCATAAATTTTGCTACTGAAGCGTCGCCAAAGATCTTGCAATATTCATCCACTCTCTGCACAGTGGTAACAATGCAAGGATGTAGATCAAAACATTGATCTAAAAGTGAGCTCCACCAAAAAAACATTTCAACATGGCTATAATTGAATTGTAAAGATCATTACTTGTAATTTAATAAACATAAAATTTTCCTATTTAAAAGTTATATCTCTTTGGTGTTGGTGGTTAAAGTTTATATCAACTAAGAAAGGCAAACTAACAAAATTACAAGACATCTTGTTACTTCTTACTGCCTCTTATCAGATACGGAAGGTCAACTGCCTCTATTATAAATACGAAATGTAAACAGACAATGTTGCCATAAGAATTTCGAAAAATTTTCTTCTTAAATAAAGTTTTATATATCTTACATTCCCCAAATTTCAGTATCAAGAAAAATCTTATTATTAATGGATAACTAAATGCATACCAAGTATTTTGTCTGTTCCTTGACAAACTGCTCTTGTGCAGGGTGTAATCTATGGCCAGGATTCCGCAAACACCTGCATGAAGAGAAAATATTTAGATTATTTTGCATCAATTAAGCAGACCAATGGCTTAAAAAACTTTATGCAGGGAAAATCCCCTGGAAACACACATCATCCAGATCTTGGCTGCACTAAATGCCTTCTAATTGACCATGTACCTCTGTAATTGAGGAGTGCAGTGGCCAAAAATTGTAGCGCACTCCAATATGAGCGGGCCAGCAGCAGCGGCAGCGCGCTTGTCCCGCTACAAAAGGAGCAGGCATAGTGCCATAACTGCACTGCCATTCTAGATGCATTCTTAATTACCATCCACTTATGATGAAATTTCCAAGCCCGCCCATGCCCAAATTGGAGTGCATGCACAGC